CTAGAAGCGTTAACAACTGCCAATGAATCTTTGTAGGGATATAGATGTCTCTTATCTTAGTTTAAGAGACATCTATATGTGTGACAACGAATTTTTTTTTACGTTATGGTAAATTACCATCCCTTTGTTTTGTGTTTTTGGTCATCTTGTTTTTATTGTTAGACAAGAGCAAAAAAAGTTTTTTTTCTGTTGTTTTTGTTGTTTGAAGAACTTTTGCGTTCCTTTTGTCTATAAGATCTAAGTTTAAAAAAAGTAGATGATCAGATTTTATATTTTGCTCATGGAAACGCCACCCTACAGGTGGATTCCTTTTTGGTATTCTCCCGAGCCAAAAAAAAACTGTAAACGTAAAGTTTCATGGAATGTATGGATATAAAATTTGGCTTGAAAAGGAAATTATTATGATTATAATGTAGCCATAATTAGAAAACAATGTTTGGCAAAAAAAATTTTGAAGCCAAACTTTAAAAAATCACAATAATTTTTCTTGGGTCATTTTACGAGACAATTTATCCTCAAAAACGTATTTTAGCAATTAGACTGAGCTGCGCCAGTCTGGTATTAAAAATAAATGATTATGATATTTTAAAATCATTTTTAATAGAACATAATAGAATTTAATGATTCGACAAAAGAGGATTGTAATCCATTTCTAATCAATTTTAATCTTTTTTTACTTTTATAGATACTGGCAATGAAATTCTAATGTAATTGATCGTTATATAGAAAAAAATTTTGCTGGGTGGTCATATTTTTTGACATTCGAGGAAAGCGAAATTTATTGGTAGCAGCTGTGAATTTTTGTTCGAATTTCTGTTTCCAAAAAACATGTTTTGGCTGGATTTCCCTTTCAAAGTTGAGGCCCTGCGCTGTAAATTGTATCATATTATTTCTTCTAATGAATGTTTTTACGCTATTGGGCACTGAATTTTTGCTTTTGTTTGAATTGTTTTGCAGAAACATGTTTTATAAGAAAAATAGATGTATTGAAATTTTTTTTCAGTTTTCAATTGTTTAAAACTAATCAGGTCTGTTAAAGGGCAGTCTGGACATTGAAAGCTTTGCACTGATATAAGTAGTATTGTTGTTTCGACTTTCGAAGAAAATTCGGAATATCTATGCTTGGTGTGTTTTTTTGTTCAGTCAAATTTGTTAATTAAGCGTTTTTGACCAAATTATTTTTTAACATCTGTGAGATGATGTTATCCAAAGCTGAAATTCAAAAAGGTAATTCATCTGTGAGCAGGGGCGGATCTAGGATTTTCTCGAGGGGGGGGGGTCGGATTTTCAAAAACATTTCGAAAGTTTTGTTGACTTTTTTTTTAGGTCGACCAAATTGATTTTCTAAGCTCTCTCAAAGCCTTACAAAGACTAAATTTTAGCCAAAATTTCTGCGCCGCAGGCAAATTTTTGAAAATTTTAATTATGAGATTCGTCACCAGAAATGGTTATCTCAAAATATAAAAAAGGGGGGACCCTTTGGGTCGGCAGGGGTTCGAATCCCTGAAGGAAAAAAGGAACGTCCGCAACCCCCCCCTCTAAATCCGCCCCTGCTTGTGAGCATTTTTTGTGAAGTTACGGCCGTTTGAAACTTGCTAATTTGGCCAATTTGGGATAATAAAAGTGCGGTAAATTGCGTTCTTATAACAGGCGTAGGAAAAATATTAATAAGTTCCAAATTGCATTGAGGCCTGTTGTCACAATTCGAGACGCTAAACACACCCTCAGTATTTTATAAAGCGTGTGGGGGATAAAATGAAGAAAAAATGAAAAAAAAAATTGTCTATTTTTCTCAATTATTCTCAAGTTTGTCAATTATTCAATAAAAAAAATTTTCAATTGGCCTTCAGCGCAGTCAGAAGAAAATTCAGGGCTTTGCCCTGATATACGAGCAGTCTTGCTCTTGTTTTATTGTGAACTGCCTTTGAGTTGGTCAGTTTTTGCTTAAAATTTTGAGCGAAACATGTTCGAAGTTCAGTTTTTGATTTGCTTTACTCTGATAACTTCAATGTGTTATAAATAGCTCAGATAAAGCCTCAAGACACGAAAATTTTATCGTTGAATAAAATTTGCCAAAAAACTGAGACATAGAAAAAAGTGGTTGTTTTCAAACCAAATACATGAGATAATTCAACGGGTGATCGAAACATTCAAGCTATTTTCTCGCATACGAACAGTCGTGCTAATATTCTGGGGTCAATTTTGTGAAACCAATTTCAAGATTGTGCATTTTTTGCATCATCATTATTTGTCAGTCAATATCGTCACGAGTGATACAAGGAAACCTTATCTTTTTGACGTTATTTGAAGGGAGAAGGAGGGTTCGGGGCTGCAGCATTGTGTACAAGCTGATAATTTATTTCAATCAGACAGCGATACGGCTTAAGCACATGTATTTGCATGCTAATTAGTACTCAGGGAATGATAATTAGATCTATAAATGATCGCTGCTTGAATGAGCCTGGTTCAAAATTGTACAAATTAAGTACTAAAATAAGGCGGATATTCAAGAAACCTCCATATCTACAAACCGCCATATTCTGAAGCCGAAATTATGACAAGTCGTTCGAGGATTGTCGGGTCTTTTTACTTCCGCCCAAGTTATCAAATCTGAATATAAAATTAAAGAGAAAACTGCTCGAACTTGATTTAGTTGAAAACTAAACGCAATAATTGAGACGTATATTTATATTAATATTTGTTTTTAAAATGTTTACTTTTACTTATTTTAATATTTGATTTTAATAATAAGTAACTGATGCGCTGTGTTATTTTGGGCAGAATAAGTTTAAAAACAAAACAAGAAAAATTTTTTAAAAAACTGGATTAAAACAAACACATTACAAGGCCAAACTGTGTATTTTGTGAACTGTAAGGAGATTTCCGCAACAAGGATTCTCTCTTTTTTGTTCCGACTTTCGAAGAAAGGGCAGATTATGTATGCTTGGTGTGTTTTTTTTTAATTTGGTCAATTTTCGAATTTTTAGCATTTTTAAAGAAAATTTTTTCTACCATCCAAGATATGTTAATTTTTTGAGCTCTAATTTAAGATATTTCACCTGTGATCATTTTTGGTTAAGTTATGGGCGTTTGAAAATTGCTAATTTCGCCATTTTGGGATGATTAACACGCGATAGATTGCGTAAAATAACACGCGTGAGCAGCGGATTAAGGCGTTCCAAATTGAATTGAGGCAAGACATTTGGTCGTATAACTAGAATACAAGTGGTATTGGCATTATAATTTGTTTTTTTTTCTATATATAAAGCAACAAAATGTATTTTTCTCTCCATTTAGTCGCAATATAATCTTTTGTTGAGTCTCCATAAAGTCCCCATAAAGTTTATCATTTGTACCATATAATGGCAACAAAACCTGTTTTATTGCCATTTATTCGCTAAGAAAATATGAAACATTCTGAGCATAATTTTCTGCCCTAAACCCCCAAAATCAAATCTTTGTTTTTCAAATTCTTGTTATATAAGTGTTGCAACTTTTAGCAAGTTTATTGAACCTGCTTAATTTTCATTTTATTGTTCCGACTTTCGATACGAAAGTAACGGAATATTTGTGCTCGGGGTGGGTTTTTTTTCTTCAGACAAATTTCGACTTTTTAACTAGCCATTTTTGGCGGAATTTTTTTATATCATGCAAAAGGTATTGTTGCCCTGAGCTTGAATTTGAAAAGATATTTTACCTGTGATCATTTTTTGTAAAGTTATGGGGGTTTAAATATTGCCATTCTGACCAATTTGGGACAATTAACGCGCGATATATTTCGCGCTATTAATGCGTAAGCGGAGATTTAATCCGTCTTAGAAATCGTTCCAAATTGGTTGAATTAAGCTGACTTGCCATAATTGATTTGTTACAAGGAGCGAAATCTATCCTTTTGCACTTTATATGGCGTGTGGGGGGATAATTTTCAAAAAAAAATCAAATTTAAGAAAAAAAATTTTCATTTTATTTTTTAAATTTTTTTTTGCATGTTTTTTTACTGCTCCATAAACCTTAAAAGGCAATCGGAACATTCAGGGCTTCGCCCTGATACGAGCAGTCTTGTTTATCTTATTTTTAGTTTATTAGTGCCTTCTTATTTATCGCAGTAGCGGGTTGGGAGAGGGCATAGGTTAGCGGATGCTCTCTCCCTCCATGAAGATTTAGAAAAGTTTTAGGGTCAGTCAGCCAAAATAAATAGTACCATGGGGGGAACCTCTGCCGATCCAAAGGGTACTGTGGGCACTATTTTAGGGCATCCATTTTGGATGACCGATCCTAAAATTTTTCAAAAAAGTGCCATGGGTTCCAATAATTACGTAGTTTCAAGAAATTTTTAAAAACCTGAGCAAAAGTTGAGTTTTTCTAATGATGGTTATTAGTTAAATCATGATTGCAACGATTCTTATTGGTGGCTCTTGATTTTAGATTTAAGTTTTAAGCTAATAAATTTTGCTTCCAGTGAGTCACGTTTGTAAATAGATTTCCTGGGGTTTCTATGGAGAGAAAATTTGGTTTTATTGCAATTATATAGTATAAGAAGTAGATTTGCTTGGGTTTATATGGAGATAAAATAGATTTCGGCAGAATTGTAATGCAATAAAATCGTTGCAGAAATAATCAATTTTCGTGCTATTATAACAAAAAGTGTCTCCCAAATTGGTTGCACAAAATCGATTATAATGGCAATATTTTTGGCAAAATTTTCTCAGTATAATCTATCTTTATTCGATGAAACTTCGTTGCGGGTTCCTTCGTTTTCTTTGATTGTTCCGACAAAATTTTAGCATGCTGTTTAACGATTTGTCTCTGGAATCCAGGAACATACAGACTCAAAATTGTGCGCCTATCCTTTCTGACAAATTCATAAAAGGTCAAAACACGTCCATCAAAAGGCCAAAATTGTTTAAAAATTTCAGATAGCACGTTCAACTTTGAGCATCAATACTTAGGTTGTATAGGTTTACCTCTGACTAAACCCCCGGTAAAGCACACAGACTTACATATCCAAACAGACAGGTTGGCGAGCAGAGCCACTTTGGGTTGTCGGTATTGCAGGGCAGTCATGGGGTGGCAAAAGACGAGGAAGCGATCTGCCGCCAGAAGCCCCATTGTTATACACGTCACCAGCACCGTCACCTGACAACACACACACACACACACACACACACTAATTGCTATAAAACTCTATGTCATTGATAGTAAAATATGAGAATTGTATGAGTAGCATTTTTCCATAGACAAATTGTATGGAATTGTATGACCAGCGTTTTTCCATAGACAAAGTGTATGGACTTGTATGGACTAGCATTTTCGTTATATGGAGGTCAACCCGGGTAGTAATAATGACAGTGGGCTGAGTTTCTCAAATCATATCTCAAATCTTACTCTACAGCACTCTAAAAGATCTTGTTCTTTCTGCTCTGATCCAATCCAAAAAACACTGTACATGCAAAAAAAACAAAGGCCAAGAAGGATATAGAGCAAACTTTGGTCTGGCAAAACACTGAGAACGTTTCTACTGCAGCCTTTAGGAACATGACCAAAGTATTCTCCTTGGCTGCAATACAAACTCGGATAGATGTGCAAAGCAGTACTACTCGCCAGGGCTATTTCATCAATTTTTGTTCACTTTTTGAAAAAAGTAAAAATAACAAAAGTGCTGGGCGTAATTTTATACCAGACCAATAAATCAGACCAATTTTGCGCTCAAAAGTAGAGTTTTGACAAAGCATTTATACTCCTACGAAGATATCATTCCCTGATAACGAGTGAAAAAAAATCACTGAAATCAGTTTTGCCAGCGTTTCAAAATCGTCTTTATGTCTAAATTCTGAAATAATTTATGCGCGCTTTTATGACTTTAACAAATAATGCTTAGATGAACGCGAACTTCCCGCTCAAAAACTGTTAATGAATGAATTGAAGCATTTTTTTTGTTAATACACTAGTGGACAGAATTAGGCGCAAGTTCGGGTTTTTACTCTCTGAAATGTCTGTTTCAATGTCGATTTTGGACAACGTTTACTTCGATTTTGAGCAAAAAATTTACATCAGACGAAGATCAAGTGATCAGAGCTACCCTCTATAAAACTATAAATTTTTAGTATCAAAGACTTACTAATGTAATCTGGGTCTGAAATGGCTAGAATTCTTCGTTTACGAAATTTTTGAATCAGCGCGAAATAGTGAAAAACAGCCACGTTTAGAAAAAATCTATGGTTATTATTTCAATTTTCTCTCTGAAAAATTTTCATATTAAGAGAAACGGACTCTGTTTAGACAGGCTATAAAAAGCCTTTCATAGACCCTCTTCGAATCGCAGAAACCACTCATCATCATCATGTTGCATGAAAACTTTTTTCTACTTCGCTTACTTGAGAAAGATTTCACTACGATGCAAAAATTATTGCAGATGAAGAAATCTGGAACTTTCAGACCCGGATTACAACGGTTATTTTGAAAGCAAATTTTGATTGTAGCTTTGATCATTAGCTCATGGTCTATGTAAAAGTTTTGCTGAAAATTGACTTAAATGTTGTCCAAAAAAGATTTTTAAAAAGGCATTTTAGAGAACCAAAACCGCAATTTGCATCAAATTTTATACAGTAGTGTAGTAATTGTCTCCACCAACTCAAAATTTTAAATTCATCGTTTGATTCTAGTTTTCGAAAAGGATAGTTCATAATAGGCAGGAACTTAGTTAGAAAGCAAGTTTGACATCTCCAAATCTCAAATAACAAACAGGAGATGTAATCTCATTGCTTATCAAAACTTGCTTATAAAAGTTTATTAAACCGTCAATCGGAGTTCGATTTTGGGAAACTGGAAGGCATAAGTTATAATACTGCGTAAAAACAACTGTTTGCAGTTAAGAAAACCTCGAACAAATTTATATGGTAGTCGGCGAAAAAAATGTAGTCTTTAACAAGTTTTGAACACAACAAGACTACTCATACATCAGGGCAAATCCCTGAATGTTCCGAATGCACCATAATTCTTATCGATTAGTTGTTGGTAAAAAACTATTGAAAAAATACGAAATTGGGTGAATATCAAAATTAAAGTGTAAAACTTTAAGTTACGACTGTAACACGATCGATTAGCTTAGCTAGCCTCAATTCAAAATGAAACGATTTGGTTGCGCGGGATAATTCGACACGCAGAAAAAGTTCGCGTTACGTTCTCAGCATTTTGACTAAAATCTTCAAAGCACGCACAATTTACTCCAGGGCATAGCCAAATTGGCAATTTTCAAACTTTAAGAAATTTGCAAGAAATCGTCAGAAATCATTTTAAATTTGATTTCACTAAGTCAATATCTTCAACGGGGTAAAAAAATTTTAAAAAAATTGTTTGCTTAGAACAATTATTTTGATCGCTGGAAACTGACTGAATGAAGAAAACCATCCCAAGCATAAATATTCAGTTTGGTTTGAAAGTCGGAAAAATAACAATACAATATCTCTTTTGTCCCATAATTGCTGCTTAGCATCACCGTCTAATTTTTTTTTTTGGTCTCGTTTAACTTGTTGCACTATAGTATATCTCACATTTTTATTCAACAGAAACTATTAGTTAAAGCCGCATTACTCTGGTACTTGTTTTTTGTCACACATGCTTGAAGATTATCTGGAAATTCAAAAGTACTCTGATTGAGACATTTGATTATTATTTGGATGTTTTGTTGCATTGAGTACAATAAAGCTGGTATCTGAAACTGTTTTGGTATGCAAAAAAGTTTTCATATGTTGAGAAGTTTTGTAGTCATTTGAATAGTTTCTCACAAACTATTGAGTTTGCCTGCTAAAATCAGCGAACTCAAAGATTTCAGTTTTAAAAAAGATATAAATTAAAAGTTTAGTTCACTTCTGAAATGGAAGAAAATTGAACAAAACGAAAATAACTAGTTGGAGTGCAGTTAGCACGGAAAATCAAAACTACCCCGATTTGACTTGCTTTTTTTATTCGAAATTCAAGTAGGAGAACTCAAAGTATTCTAGAATTTAAGAATTTTTTCAAAAATTTTTTTTAGAACTATATAACAAAAAAATCAAACCATTTTTTTTTCTATTTTTTAAACATTTTCTTAATGACTTTTTTAGAAAATTTATGCGGTACTTTTTGAAGAACTAAATGATTTCAGTTTCTTAAAATATTTTGCAAAGATAGTTTTGAAAAGTTTTGTTTTAATTCTAGGAAGTGTTGAGCTCTACTGCTCAAACGACGGACAAGGAAACGAGTGAAATTGCAAGGAAATTACTTTTTTGTTTAAACAATTACTGTGGTTTCTGTGCTAAGTGGACGCCAATGGGTCGTTCTTGTTTTGTTCGTCCTTTTTTCATTTCAGACGTGAACTAAATGTGTCCATTTTAATATTTTCGTTAATACTCGAACCGATCGATTAAAAATTAATGTTGTAGATAGTGGAACGAGCGTTTTTGTCCTGGTCACTTAAAGTTGGTGTAAGTTTTGTTATTCAGGTTTGTTTCATTTTTCCCACGCAAGGTCATGAACCATTCTTATTTATCAGAGCGTGGTAAAAATATAGTAAAATTAGAGGCTTTTAAGCCGTATATCGATCGACATTAAAAACATCCCAAACTTCCCAAATGGCTACTTAGTCAAATTTTGAGCAAGTAAAGTGAACGAATCATGAAAGTTTTCCATAGCTAAGCTATTATTTTAAGCTTACTATTTTGCGCTTCTTCGTTATTCGGACATGGAAACATTTTTGAAAAGAATCTAAAAACACTATTTAAAAAAACTCAGATTTTTTATGAAAAAAAAAATTGGTTTTCAATTTTGTTAACAACTTAGCCGAGATATCTGCAGTCTATTAATACGTTTTCTAGGAAATTTTGAGGTTACTTGATCAAACCTCGCACAAGAAAACTACTCAAATTGTGATGAAATCAATTGTTTTTGTTTTGAAAATAACTATATGATCGGAGTAACCTGTGCTACTAGCATATCAGCCGGTCATTCTTGTTTTCCTCATCGTTTTGCTTACTTTTTCAGTTTTAAGTTGAACTAAAGTTGCAACGACAGCGATTTTACCTACACTACCTTTGGCTTCAACCGCCAACAGTAAAACTAAATTTTTCTTTTACTAACAGTTTTGTTATTGTTTGACTAGGACCGATAGGTTTAGAAGTGGGAAAATATTATGTTATTTGGCGCGAGGAGCATTTTTACTCTTTCTTTGTCTTTTCTTTTTCACCATTTTTCTTTATATTTTAGTTAAACAAAATGTTTAATTGATAAATATCGTACAACAACAGCCTTTAAAAGCCAAAAGCAAAATATTGCTGAATTTTTACAAACATACAAATGGCTCTGGCCATTCAATTTTTGATCCATCAATCATGCGTTAGCTATCAGCCTAATTTGCGTTTTGTTTTATGGAAATCTGCGCCAGCGGGGAAGAAATGATGAAGTCCAAAGATAACATTTTAGTTTTCAAGACGGAGAAAAAGTGTCCTGTTGCGGAGACGAAGTAATGACGTCTGAAGATAACATGTATGTCCTCAAGACATTCCGCAATTAAAATGTCACTACCCACTCGATAGCCTTCTACAAAGGCCATAACAGTTGACTAGAAAGCAAAAAGACTGCAGCATTTTATCGATTGGTCTCAAAATGGTTAGCTTATCGATTATCAATCAACTGATTTTTTTGGAGAGGTCCTGTCAGTAAATGTGTTCGCGGCATAAAAGTTGAAGAAGTTGGCAGAGAGTGCTTTCAACTTGTACGTGAATGAATTCGGAAACTTGTTCTTAGTTTTTCAATTCTTCAATCGAACAAGATTGTCTGTATTATGGCGGAGTTGATCAAATGCAAGTGTAAAAACTCCGAATTAAGAAATCACAACTCTAAAATAACTGAATTTTATGCAAACTTTTTCCTACGCGCAATGTAAAAAAGTGATCGGATTTACTTAACGACCCCCCCCCCCCTATTGTATCTACTAAAGAATCTCCCCCTTCTTGAAGGGGGGAGATTGTTAAGTAGATCCAAGTGACCTGCTTACTATCTAGTAAGTAGTTGTTCGATCCAACTTTGTATTCGGGTTGAGGAACTTTGTATTCGGGTGTGTTTTAGTTTTTTCTTTCCGCTTTCCACCCAAAATCAGCTACCACAAATAATCATCGGACTGGGTTGAGAGATAAATCATTTTAAAGCCCTTTCATTCGTGATTCGAACGACATTTTAAAATTTCAAAAAAGAATTCTCAGTGTCGAGAAAATTTGTTTCACTGCTGACGCATTGCGAGTAGAATAATGTAAAAAACTGAAGTAAATTGTTCAAAGTGGGATCAAAAGTCAAACATATTTTTTTTGCTGCAACAATTTTGCTGCGTCATGGGCAGGGCGGATCTATAATTGCTATGACAATTTGCTGCGACAATTTTGCTGCGTCATGGGCAGGGACGGACCTAGGATTTTCTCGAGGGGGCGCATTTTCAAAATCTTTTTAAAAATTTCCGACCTTTTTTTAGGTAGTCACAAATGAATTTTTCGAGCTCCCGCAATGTCTTAAGAGGACCCTGTTTTGGTGAAACTTTCTTCGCCGCAAGCAAAATTCAAAGAAAACAAGCAAAAAAAGCGTTTTTAGAAACTTTTTGGAAACTCAAAATTAGTTTATATTGGCTCCTAGGCGCCTTAAAGTTTGTCAGCCAAAAATGGTTGTCTCAAAACAGTACGAAGGAGGGACCCTTTGGTCGGCAGGGGTCCAATCACTGAGAGGAAAGGCGTCTGCCAAACGCCCCCTCCCCCTAAATCGCTCCTGGTCATGGGTATGTTTAATTTTCATTTTAATTTATTTGAGATAATTTACTGGAGTAAAACTTCAATCATTCTATTTTCAAAGTCTGGGGTCGGTGACATTCTAGTCCGGGTTTGAAAAATTATTTTAGGCTAAGTGAAAATTGAGTTTTTTACCAAAGTCAGTAAGTAAGGGAAAAATTTCAAAACGATCATTAGAATTTCAACACG